GTTCAAGTGATTCTCCTGCCTCAGCCTCCCGAGTAGCTGGGACTACATGCATGCACTACCACACCTGGTTAATTTTTGTATTTTTAGTAGAGAATGGGTTTCACCATGTTAGTCAGGCTGGTCTTGAACTCCTGACCTCAAGTGATCCACCCACCTCGGCTTCCTGAGCTTCTGGGATTACAGATGTGAGCTACTGAGCCCAGCCTCCTGGTGTGCCTCTTAAGGGCAAAAGTCTGGCTTGAGGAGGAAAAAGTTTATCCTATGGTTCATTTTTTTCTCATTCTAAAACAACCAACAATTTTCACAAAAATGATCTTATTCATCTTAAACCAGTTCTATCAGTTATATAGTATTTCATATTACTTTAAAATAGAATTGAATAGAAATTGGAACAGAGACCTGTTTTTCATGGCGTTTTCTGCTTCCTTCTAAAATAAGAAATGACAAGGTATTGTTGCAACATAAATAATTTTTCAAAAGCTTTTATTAAAATAGTTGTTTTTTTCTTTTTTTTAAAAAAAAGCTATACTGTATAGCCTAGTGGTCAAGGACATAAAAGAACTTGATTTAGGTTGCTGTATCTTATTTGGCAATGACATGACAGTAGTCCTCACCAGCAAAATGAGAAAAATAATTATAAATATTTTAAAGAATTGTTGTGAAAGTTGATTGAGATTACTATGTGTACATATACCTACATGTTTTTATTCTTAACACAAAGGCTATTACATACTAAACTTTCAACAGATTTGTCTATTTTTACTTACAATAATATTTACAAAAATCCATAAACATACAAGATAATACTTTTTTACATAGGCTAGTTAAAATCAAACTCGCACCTTTTAGAAGTATCAACGGCTCCATGTGAGTGAAAACTTTAGAGTAGAGTGGTGCCTTTGTTGTCATGTCAGAGAGAACTGCCTATGCTGCTACATAAACGTTTAGAATCCCACAATCCATTCATCCAGCAAGTAGACTGAAAGCAGCTCTTGGCTGCTTGTGACGTAAGCGGGATGACACATGTTAACAATGGGTGTCACCAATCTCTTAACTTCCTGGATTATGGTCCTGGTAAGTTGTAGGCTCTGCACAGCAAGCCAAAACCACATGAAGGCAGAATGGACAGTGCATGTGAATATAAACATCAGTTATTTTGCAGGAAAAAAAAAAAGTATCTGCTTCATAAAGTATCACAACTCTTTTTTGGTTTTTAGAAATGTCATATAATATTTTGCATTGGGAAAACTTTCAATAATTATCTAGTCAAGAATAGCTATCAGCTTGAGCCCTTAGCTACATGCTCTTACCCGCATTTTATATATGACTCTTCTGGTCGGCTCAAGGGCCAATTTTAACTGAGAGTGAAGCTCTTCCTATGATTGGACACGGCGTGGAGGTTCTACAGCAGCCACTTTGGCTAGAGGGGCTATGATGCTTACGTTCTGGATCAAGGGCTCTGGGTTATAAATAATGAATGCAACTCAAACTTATTTAGGTAAAAAAGAATTTACTGGAAATGTTACTGAGCATCTCATAGAATCAAAGGCAGAGGTAAATACCAATATTCAAGAAAGGCCAAGATGTAATTAGGCTTAAAGAATTCTGGAAGCAGGGCCACACTCACAGAACCAGAGCTTCTCCTTCTTGCTTCTGTGCCTCCCTAAACGGTGGCTTCTTTCCTTTTTATCACTGTAGATTGACTTTCTCCAAATGACTGAAAGCATGACTGCCATTGAAATCCTAGATTTCTATGTTACAGTTTTCACCAAACAGAGCAAGACTGATCCTGTTCCATTTCCAAAATCCTAGGCTAGGTCTAGCTTGGATCAAATTAACTCAGGCAAAGAAGTAGAATGCCATTTGAACCCATCTGGGTGAGGCGCTCAGTCAACCCCTGCCTATAAGTAGTATCATATTGTACTAACGTGATTAAAACAACTTGATGGGGCTGTCCTAAGCAGAAGCGGTGCTGACCTGACTGTTCCATAGATGTCCTGTATTGCATGGATATAAGGTAAAAGCAATGCAAGGAGGTAGGTAGTCCTAGCTTCCATTTACCAACAAAGGCTGCCTATTGTCTTTGAGAACTTCTTGTTAAAATTGCTCATTCTCAGTTTGGAAGCTCAGGATGGTGGTATGGGAGGAGGGGAACGATCACACATGAAAGTAGCTGAGCAGAGAGAAGGGAAGGAGGGCAGATCAATGAGGCATCATCAATACAAAGCAGAGGGCTCTGGACCTCCCAGCTCTTTTCATATTAAATCCTTATGCTTCTCCCAGCTGCCTCTTCTCTCCTGCATCACACCTCTTTTTAATATTTTCCCCCATCACTTTTAAAATGAGGACCTTCTGTGTACTTATAAGACTTTAGTCCTCTTCCAGAGAAGCCATGTAAGATTTGATGCAAAAGTCTAAAGTATGGCAGATTCTGTCTCTTCAGAGAAGTGCTTGCCCATGTCTTCTTGTACTTTTTCTCAGAATAACAGAATCTGAGGATTGAAACAGACCAGACTTGAGGGTCATCAAATGCATGGATTTTCCGTGTACCTCCCAGTCACTGGTAGTCATGACAAGTGGCCATCCAGACTGCTTGATCACATACCAAAGGGGAACTCACCACTTTTCAGGAGAGCCCATTCTATGTTTAGACAGTTCTGACTATTAGAAGTACTTCATTGTGTTAAGCTCCACCTGGGCCAAATATGTGTCTTTTCTTGTTGCTTCCACCTGTTAGAAGTTCTACCACCTGGAAACAAAGAGAAAAGTGTAATATCTTTCCTTCACGCACACCTTTCAAAAGATCCATCACATTCACCAGATTTCTCCCTAAGATCATTCTTCTCCAGTTGAAGCAACTGTTCTTCCTATAACTGTTCTCTGTAGTGTGGGATTTCAAGTTCCTCTGTTGATCTGGACACTCTGTTTTAAAAGCTTTACTTATGTGAGTGTTTCTCTTTATTTTTTTTCCTACAATAATCAGGCATAGTCTTCCAGATGGGGAAAGATCAAACAAAAAGAACAGAAATAATAACCGTTTTCATTATATATATAGAACTTCTGTTCAGGAAAATCACGTTTATGTTTTAGGAAAACCAACCTATGCTTAGTCACTCTTTATGCCAAAAATTACATAGTGATTATAATGAAATTTAAATGAGAAAAGTATTTAAATGTTATTAGTTGCTAGAAGAAATTTGTGTTGATGTGAGAATTTCAGGCATCAGTAGTTCAAACTGGAATGGAAAAGGGGTGGGGACAACTCATGAATTGCCATAGCTCTCCAAATCACATATCTGATTTACTTCCTATTCCTAATGCTAGCACTATCCATTAAGTCAAAAATCGTGGACAGAGTAAGCCCATATCAGGGAATCATTTGATCCCTTTATTCCTCTTTATGACATCCATAAGCTTAACAAGTGTTTGTGTCCTGGTTACATTAAAAAAAGGGTTTTGTGGCCGGGCGCAGTGGCTCAAGCCTGTAATCCCAGCACTTTGGGAGGCCGAGACGGGCGGATCACGAGGTCAGGAGATCGAGACCATCCTGGCTAACATGGTGAAACCCCATTTCCACTAAAAAATACAAAAAACTAGCCGGGCGAGGTGGTGGGCGCCTGTAGTCCCAGCTACTCGGGAGGCTGAGGCAGGAGAATGGCGTAAACCTGGGAGGCGGAGCTTGCAGTAAGCTGAGATCCGGCCACTGCACTCCACCCTGGGCAACAGAGCGAGACTCCGTCTCAAAAAAAAAAAAAAGGGTTTTGTGATAAGAACCCCAAAGGTGCACAGCCCTCAAGTTTCTGTGTAAGCCCATGAATTGAGTAAAGCAGGCAAGTGCTTTAGTCCCCTCACCAAAAGGTACTGTATAAGCCAGCGAATTGAGGGAGAACAAGAGTTCGCCATGTTGGTTTGGGTGGCACAATGGGGTCACCTGAATAAATTCTCAACTTCTTGTTCCCAGAAGCACAGCTAGAAGTGGACCTAGTTTAAGGGAGTTGGAGTGAAGCTTGGGGGATCAATCAGAGAGGCTGCAGCCCCTTGTTAGCTGGATATCCTAAATTAGGGACATGTTGAGCTCTGCCCTTATCTGTAGTCACTTATGGACTAATCAGGAAAAGTGATTACTCAGAGAATAATGCATAATATTCTCTTCTATTTATATATTTTAAGATTTGAAGTAAGATATGGCATATATATGAAGATTCCAAGACAAAGGAATTTAAAATGTTGAATTCTAAAACTATAATAAGAAATAAATGGTGACTTGTAAATCTAATCATATGTCACTCATTCTTGCTTTTTTTCTAAAAATATCTGACTATGTTGCCCATCAACATTGGCAAAGAAAACTGGCTCATGCCCTGTGATTTTGCATATCAGCAAGGGAGTCTGACAATTCATCTGTTGGCAATACATAGTCCTATAGCCGGCCCTCTGTGACCTTCTTCCACCTCCATTAAGGAAGCTTAAAAATTATGACTAATTCAGGATGGGGCTGGAAGTCCTAGTACCATACCCACGGAGCTTGTTAGTTCCCTTGTATGAGTAAAGCTAAAATTGAAAATTTTATCACCTCCTTAGCCTCAGAAATGTACAGTCTAATGGGTTCAGGAATAATCCTAACCTCGTTTGGTTACCACAAGGGAGGAAATGCAGGACTGTAGATAGCTTGAAGCTACCTGCCACACAACTGAGAAGTAAACTCAAGAGCCCTTAGAGTAAGGAAGTCAGCTTCATCGTTAAGGTACAACTAATGGTCATGCTTAGCAACTTATCTAAGGGATTCCCATCTCAGTATCACATATTCACTTTCTGAATATCATAATGCTAAGAGACATAGAATTTATTTCTTTATTTAGAATGAAAGGAAGACTTCATGATTGGTGTGATATGTTGAATGATCCGGAATACTTTAGGATTAGTTGCTTTATCTAAACAAAGACAGAAATATGGGTTTCTTACTTTCTTTACTCATAGGAAATCTTTTATTTCTCAAACAGATTGTTTGGTTTTTACAAGGGAATTCTGCCACCTATCTTGGCTGAAACCCCAAAAAGAGCAGTGAAGGTAAGCATTGCATGCATTTGCACCAAGAAAAAGTAGGGTGCAGTAACAGCTTCAGCACAACAAACTCTAAGACATTAAAATGAATTATATATAAAGCATTAAAAATTTTAATGCAGAAACTATAGCATAATTTTTATTATAATTAGACTTGGCCAGTCTCTCAAATATGTAGATCAATTTGTAGATTTTTTTAATCAGGTAAAAGCATTCCATTCTAAAAAACAACATGGTGAATGAAATTCTAGTAATCAAACCACAAAATAGCTTGGACCTTTCTTCAAAGCAACTCAGAAATTTTCCTTTGGAGAAATAATTATTAAAGAAAGAGAGACAGAGGGAAGAGGAAAGAGGAGAGGAGGAAAAGCCTTTCTCCCTGAATCATTCCCATTTCATGAACAGAGTAAACAAATATACCATATTTCTTTATATATGATTCTCATATAACGTATTTATTTTGCATGCCAACTTCATTTTCCCCCTTAGTCTCCTCTTTTAAAATTCTCTATTCTGGTTCTTACAAAAATTATTACTTCCACTACCCTGATTTCCATTTACTTAACCACATAACTGTAGAGGTTTATGTACTACTTGCTAGTTCAGTATCTGAAGAGGAGCAGGAAGATATGGCAGAACATCCAGGGGCAAAAGAACTCAATCTGACTACTGTCTTCTCTCAGACAAAAGTCTTGATCATAGTGACTCTGGCAAGCATTGCTCCCCCCCACCCCCCACCCTGCACCACTGATATCACCAAATAAGGCTTTGTCCTTCCATAATAATGATAACCTAAACTTAAAGACTGACTTTCCAAGCAATATAAGGCTTTTTTTTTCCACATACATTACTCAATTTGTATTCTCAGTACTCCTGAAAGGCAAGAAGGAACAGTTCATATACTTTTACTCAGTAAGTTCAAGAGGGTGACTGGGTTAAAAATTATGATAAAATCACCCACATATATACATGAACATCCAACCTTTATATTATGTCAAAATGGCAATAGGATTGAATTCAAGTCTAGAATTTGGAAAACAAAGCCTTAGAACATACCTTCTCTATAAATTCACCCTCTTTGTTGGTATAGGTTTTGTGATTTTATAGTGATCTTATAGCAATACAAATTTTGTTATAAGGATCTGGATCACAGTAGAGAATCTGGAATAAGTTCACCAAAGTACACAAAAGAGCTGAATTGGATTATGAAATGACTTTACTTGATAAAAGATTGCCCAAGTAAACAAATAGAGCAGAGTTCCTGTTCAAAAGGAAAGTCGCTTTGTCTGCATGGAATAATATATTCATCTGTTCAGTGATTTACATGTATAAACAAAGTAAACTACAATTAGAGTTTTTCCTGGAATATTTTTTCATAATATTATGTGTCGGAGACAATTTAAACTTTAAGGAGATTAAGACTTATCACCATTGAGCAATCTTTTACAGAAAAAAAAAAGTTGAGCTTTATAAAACAGAGTTAGTTTCTATTTTACAAAAGCAATGCTCTGTGCCAGAACAATGGTTAACAGATGAACTTTTGGGCAAGTGAATATGGTGTATGTGTCCCAGACATCTTGTTTCAAGTAGATTTTACCTTAAAATTATTGAGACATATGGTAAGTATGTTGGCTTTTTAAGTATAACTTGGAGTTAAGTGTATCTTTGCCAGATGGATAGCACTAGTTTTGCAACACAATTTATGAAAACATTCATTTTATAGATATTTATCATAGGATTTGTGAGGAAAGCAATCACCTGATTGTAACGATTTCATACATCATAAACTGCTTCATTGTATGTCATCAAAGTTTACTTCAGAAAAAAAATATTCAGAGACTGTGGAGAGTGTGTGTGTGTGTGTGTGTGTGTGTGTTCTTTGGTACTGACACTTTAGTTAAAATCATTACCATAATCAGAAACAGACAATCTTAAGTTTTATGTACTTTATTCTTTGAAATGAGCTTTATCATTAAAATAATAAGACTTACTGATGCTAAATAAGTGTAACTTCTCCTTTCACAAATTAGACAGAGTTAGTATTGTAGTTAGCAAAAGGAAATGAAGACTTCAGAGAGACCAGCCGATCCCTCAGAGATGGGTGGCACCGTGGTTCAGGCTTCAGGGTCCAGTCTTGAGCTTCACACATGCAGAAATACCACTTTTCCCATGTGCAGTTTTCTCAAGGACTTCCTTATGCTAACTAAATTCACAAGGGATTATAAACTATGAAGGCTAATTTGTTCACTACGGTATACCTATCCCAATCACAGTATCTACACATAGTAGATGTTCAGTTGATATTAGATGAATAAAGGAAACATGTATAAAAAGAAACAAAGAAAACTTAAAGAAAGAAACAAAGAAATATACATAGAGAGAAAATTCCCACATCTACTATTCAGAGTATCTGGAGGGCCAAGACTTCCACTCCTGGTGGAGACAGAGTAACAGGGACCAGTATGAAATAACAGTTTTCAAGACACTGGACATCAGATGATGAAGGCTCGAAATACATGAGAAATGGAAAACAAATGAAATGAGCCCTGTGATGCCACAGCTTACTGCCTTGGGATACTTTCAGGCCCCGGGACAGGGAGGGGAAACTGAGGCAGAGCCCAGGGGACTCCCTGGGTTGGGTAGGAGCTGAAAGCCAGGGGAGAGCAGGGCAGCCAAAGTCCACAGGACAGAGTACCAGGGAAGAGCAGGCTGCACAGAGATAGAACTGAGATCTGTAGAAGGACCTCTCCAAGTTTTCAGCTGAGTATTGACCAGTGCATGCCTGGGAGGAAACTACCAATGCCTGGGAAAGAACCACCCAAAAGGCTTCGAGGGAACAGTGCTTAGCAGTCACATGCAGCTGGGAATAGTGCCTGCTCCCACCAGCCAGACCGGAAAGCTTCAGCAGTCCCAGGGCATTGAGAGGAGTGCTCATATACTTAAGGCCTCTATGATTCCTTTGGTAACCTAGGTTACCAAAGTTACAGGGAATAAAAACTAAGATTTTTCAAAAGTCTCACTTGTACCAGTCCTGTCAGGGAATCTTACTTAAATTTTCTTATTTAATGATAATCTAAAAGGTAAGTTTTGAGGTCTTGAGAGTTAGAAAGGTTAAGCAGCTTTCCTGTGCTTTCACAGCTAAACAGCATAACCCGGATTCAGCTCTAGGACTGCTGACTTCAAAATGCCAGCAACGTGATTCTCAAAGTGATGATGATGATGATGATCATAAAAATGAAGAAAAATGAATTATTTTTAAAACCTAAGATTATAACACTTTTCCTTCCATGGTTAATGGTTTCTAGTGGGTTAATGGTTTCATCAAAAATGCGGTGGTCCCAGGTGGTCGCTGTTGAGTACTATTTCAACACCAGGGTAGTTTCAGGGCATTCACTAGCCACTAGAATGTTAGCTCAAGTAGGCAGAGGTTTCTCTTTGTTTACCATTGCATCCCCGGTACCTAGAACAGGAGGTCCCTAATAACATTATTAAATGAGTGAATGAATGAATCCCTGTTCTAGAAAACGCTACATTCATAGTGCATTTAAAAGACCATGGTACAAAAGTAGTTCCTGAGTGTTGAAAAGAATCAAAATTTATCAGGTAGTAAAATGATTCTTGGGCTGCCCAAACACTCATTGAAGCCATCTATAAGGAGCTACTTCTTCATAACAACAGAGTATTTTTGGCTCTGAAATCTGGTTTTGCTTTCTTGCCCCATTTTACTGGGCTATAAAGTAATGGAGTAGAAAATATTGGGGACCATATAATACCCATACCATTTTTGGGGTCTTGAGAATCAGACTCTAGCAGGACCTAAAAACGTGCCTTATCAGTGGTGTTGACAGCTACCTGAACGTGCTACCCAGGAGAAAAACATGTTCAAGCAGAGTTGTTGCTCAAAAAGTAGAATACAGGAAGAAAAAAGGGGGGAAATGTATTATACGAAGCAATTGATTAGATTCGCCTCCACTGAAATTTGTTTGCAGAGAAAATTATACTAAACATTATCTACTGAAGAAACCAAAAATACCTTCACCATCTTCATCACCATCAGTTTTGAAGGAAGGAATTAGCAGCTTGCTTTCTTCGTTCAGGTTGAGGACAGTCTTGCTTTATGGCAGGGGATGGACTAGATAACCTCATTGGGTTCTTCCCTAGTTTGTCGTGGCATCTTCATAATTATTTAGTGTTTTCAATTCCATGGAGCAGTGGGGAGATACCAAAATAGAAATGCAAGTTAACGCTGAAAAGTGGATGTCTTTTACAAGTGTGTTAGAAAATTGGGCTTTCACTGGGAAAACAGTTCATAGAGAAAACATAGGAGACCAAAGATGTCAGGTCTCTAGGCCTATAATGTTGAATCACTGCCATAAGAGAGAAGTCTATTGATGTCTGGGGAAACTGAAAATGGTCATGGTAAATGGAAGTTGTATGGTTCATTTACTGCTCTAAAGGATTTCATCAGCTCTTCTGTAGGTTATTGTAACTGCATTTGAAACTGTGAATGTTAAAGAAAGTTCCAACAGCAACTACCCGAGACAGGATTAAAAACTGTATTAGATAGTTTATCATTTTTTGAAATGCTGGTTAACATAATGATTTACTAAAGAAATTTGAGTCAATTAAAGAGTTTGTTGCAGGAAAATTGTTATAAATCTGTGCGTTTGGTTTTGTTTCACAGTTTTTCACCTTTGAGCAGTACAAGAAATTGCTGGGATATGTGTCACTGTCACCAGCATTGGTAAGTGAGAGTATTTATTATACTTAAATGTATGTGTTATTTCATAAAGCAAAATCTAGAAACAAAAACTCTTTTGATTCCCAAGCCCAGCTACTAAAATATGAATTCAAGTTATTCAATGTTCAGCTACTTGTTGAAAGCCATCTTCCTAATAACTCACAATTTGGCTATTTTATAGCTCCCAGTGATGAATTTATGATAATAATGATATGTCTGGAAAGGCCCCATATGAGATATGGTCAAGAACATGAAATAAAGAGTACATTTATCAAAGACTCTTTTTAAACCAAGACATGCATATGTTTACATACATACTGCATATATCTATGCAAAAGTCAACATGCCAAGTGCCAGGTCACTTTTCCAGCTTTTGCACCAACTGTAGTAAATGTAAGACTTCAGATCCCTTGGGATGAAATCATTCTGTGGTCAGATGCAGACTGAAGGGACTTTTATAGGAATGACTGTAAACAACTCAACTAAGGAGAATTGTGATAGTACAACGACATATCTCATATATCACACAAAATTCACTTGGTTATTTGAACATTTCCCTATGCCATTCTCCTCCTTCTTGGTGACTTTCCTGCTTTTCACAGGAGTTAATTGTATTGACCAAATGGGTTCTACAAATGTGTGTGCAACAAGAGCACCCAAGAGAGTAAATGCATTAACTTCTCCTTCCAAGTCCGCAAAGAAAAGCAAAACAAAATCTGCATTGGCCCTCCAATTGGCAATGTACTCCAGTCTCTAGGAAAATGCCCTCATTTGCCCACTAAAATGGACAATATTTGTATTCTCAAATTCTCAAATAGACTGTCCAAGAAGAAGTATCTGTTATTTTTAAAAAATCATACATGCCCCTTTTCTAGGAAAGATCCTGTTAGGAAACCTAATAGCATCACTTTTTGTTATGACAAAGCAATGTCTTGTACAGTCCTTGCCTATACAAGGTGGCTGGGAGACATGGCCTCCTAGAGAGGAGGGAGCAGTGATACCATGAATCTTGAAACTAGCTAGGATTTTTTCCTTTTAATTCTTTGGCATCTTCTCTTAATATCATTCTTAAATTTGGAAACAGCTTGGCAAAAAGAGAATTAAAAATTTCCTAGTGAGAAACAATAAAAGATGGTCTCCAGAGGGCCAGCTGGCTGTTCTTGTGTCAAACATTGGTACCATGTGAGAGACTGTAGGTCTTTGGACTCTTGAGAATTGAAACAGAAAAGCATTTGGTCACTGCAGCTACTATAAACAAATGCATGCCAACTGTGTACAGTTCTTCTCTTTTCTTGAGCTCATTTATTTCAGTTACTTTTTTTGATATGGCTAGACATTTAAACAGCTGTTAAGTGTCCCCTGGTGCTCTCACATGAAAAGCCTAGGAGGCTGGAAACCCAACAGTAAATGTAGGTTTCTGGAACAACCTATGTAACATGATCTGCTGATATCTGATCAATTATTTTGACAAGGGACTGCTGAACACTAGTTCTGACAGCAAATGTAGCTGAATTTTATAGAAGAACAAAAAAGTGAATTACTTGGAAGATTGCATATAGTAAGTAATAAAAACCTGGACATCTGGATTTTAGCTTTCCCAGTCAAAAGAGTTTGGGACTAGTATTTTTTTTTCCACTTCTGGCTTCCATGATGGAAGTCTGAGATAAATGAATAAAATATTTGATCAGTTACCCTATACACATATGCTTAAAACTGTAATGAAGGGAAATAAAATGGAAACATCATCAATGAGTCTCTCTCTCTCCTAGAATCTGTATGCGATTTCTTTCTTTCTCTCTCTCTTTCTTTCTTTTTTTCTTTCTTTCTTTCTCTCTTTCTTTCTTTTTTTTT